GTTAAATGGGCAATTGAGGGGATATGCAAACCATTAACCCATATTTTTAACATGTCGTTTTGACTTGGGCAGTTCCCCAATAACATGAAAATAGAAAAGGTTATTCCTCTGTATAAATCTGGTGATAAGCACAACTTCACAAATTACAGACCGGTTTCTCTGTTGACACAATTTTCAAAAATTCTGGAAAAACTCTTTAAGTACTTTATTTTAACCCTATTTATCTCATTTCAAAGAACATTCCCTTGTTGTCTGTATTGTTCATACTGCTTATTCTGCATGGTTTGCACTTTCTGATGCTTATAAATACCTTTTATTTTTGTTATATTACACAGCCTTATGCTGGTTTAGTGTTTGCACATTGAGAGCCGATGTACCCGAGTCAAATTCCTCATGTGTCACACCTGGCCAGTAAAGCAGATTCTGATTTTGATTTTGATTCTGCTGCTGTTTCAAGTCATTCTGTAGCAGAGTGAATCCAAATCTAAGACATTTTAATACGGCCACAGAATTCTGCCAACTAGTTCAAATAAAGTCTTGACCAGACTGGTTTTAGTCTGGGTATATTCACTGGCCTTGGGCTTTCATTTGATTATCAGCAGACTCATGTTGAAAGCTGATGTCTTCATTTTACAAGGATTAAGTTAAGGATCAGGATTAACCCCAGAAACGTGATCCATCCTTTAAATGATGTCGCCTTTCTGTAAATCCCTGAATGAAGAAAACACTGTCCCACCTCCATGTGAAGCAAAGTGCTGCTGCCAGTGTGTGAACCAGGAGTTAGTGCAAGTGACAACACAGATCTAGGAGGAGACAGAGATTCAGGGAGGAGCTAAGATGCTACTGAACTATAGAAGAGAGAGGAACGTCCATGTTCAATACACACATCATATCCAGTACATGTGTTCAAAATGCTGTCATTACAATCCTATGTATGTTCTCTGCTGTTATTACACATTCTAAGAGGTATGTAAAGGTCATTAGAAAGTTTAGTGCAAAGGCTGTGAATGTATGTCATTGGATTGACTTTAACATATAACAGAGTCATCTCTTCCTTTAGGTGTCAGCTGTGACAAACTCACTCCAGTCAACAGTGAAGAGTCCAGTGTAGAAGGCAGCGCTGCCAAAACTGTCATCTAGGGATGATGTTTTCTGGTATCGCCAACATCCAGGAAAACCACCACAGTTCCTCATCTCACTCACTGCTTCCGGACAAATAGTAAATAATCCAGTTAGTGGACTGAAAGTTGAAGTGAAGCAAACCCAAATAAATCTGAAGATCATCTCAGCCAACGTGTCAGACTCTGCTGTGTACTATTGTGCTCTGCAGCCCACAGTGACAGGAAACACCAGGACTCTGTACAAAAACCTCTGGAGCAAACACAACACAACGCTCCACAACGTCCACTAGAGGGAGTCACATACTGTGAACTTCAAGTGAATCACACAACAAATGCTCAGACAACTACAGTCAGAGGCTTCCACCATCGCTGTCCTTCCCTTCACTGGCATTTTATTGTTAAAGATTAAGCTGCTTCACAGAACCTGACAGTTTAACCAAGGGACAAATAAAAAACAGCAACCTCTGCATGTTGAACGTGCTGCTCACTGACTGTCCAACCTGAAACCAGTGTTCACCTCATGTATGTAGAGCTGTATGTGTGTGCGCGTGTGTGTGTGTCGTTTTGGACACGAGTCTAAAAGCTCAACATTGCTCCAGTATTTAATGGCTCCGTATTGTTATATACGTTAGATCAATAATGAAACATCTATAAAACAATTTGGAAAAAAAGAATTAAATGTTTCCATTTGTAATTGTGTATGTGGCTGAGGGGGTGGGGTCATCACTGTGATTCCTAAAGCCTCCATCGGCCTGAATGGAAACCGAGCTCAGCAGGAGGAGGAGCTGCACCGCTGAATACGAAAGGCTTCATGTTGGAAATGAGCCACTTGAGGCCTGTTAGTGAGGAAGTCCTTAATCCAATGACACATCATTGCAGGCATTCCCAGATTGTGCAGTTTTAGTGCCAGTTTGTCTGGGATTACAGTGTTAAATGCTGAACTGAAGTCACTCCAGTCAACAGTGAACAGTCCAGTGTTCAGAGCTGCTATTCTGTCCTACACATTCTCCAGAAAAGCAAATGGTGCTGATTGATTTTACTGATTTTACAACATCCAGGAAAACCACCAGCGTTCCTCATCTTTCACCTGGGAACGCAAAATGAAACCAGCCCTGGCCGGTTTGTTACAGTGAGTGAGGACAAAACCCAAGTCTAGAGATCGTCTCAGCCAACGTGTTTGACTCTGCTGTGTACTACTGTGCTGTGAGGCCCACAGTGACAGGAAACACCAGGACTCTGTACAAAAACACAAGCTGCCACCCTGACAAGCTGCTGGAAGCCTTTTCTCCACTGCTGCAGTGACCTGTTCTCTCCACTAGAGGGCCACATCATCCAGTAGGCGCTGCACTACTTCTGCACTGGGCTCAGACATTCTGCCAAGAATAACTGCTGCTGTGAACAGAGCAGTTCTCACACTGACTGTTGGACATCAGCTGGTTTCTCCTGCTGCTTTAGACCTGCTGGTAGAGATGGAGCATTGGCTGTGGATCATTCTGGCTGTTCTTTGCTCTGGTAAGAGAGGAGGCACCACATGTTTCCTCTGATACGACTCCAGATGTTTGTGTGTTTGACTCTGTGGAGAGGTAACTCTTTACACCGACTGTCTCCTTTAATTAATCATCTTTATTGATTCATCTCTTCCTCTGCATGTTCTGTTCTTCCCCAGAGTGTAAAGGAGAAGACAAAGTGACCCAGCCAGTAGGAGACATCACTGCTGCTGTAGGAGACACAGTTACACTGAACTGTACTTTTGAGACCAGTTACACTCCCTACTTGTTTTGGTACAAACAAGAAGAAAATGACTTTCCCAAGTATATTTTGCGAAGTGATACTTTTGGATCAGACAATGCTCCAGAGTTTCAGAAGGACAGATTTAATGCTATAATGAACAAGCCATCAGTTCCTCTGACGATCCAGAAGCTTCAGCTGAATGACTCTGCTGTGTACTACTGTGCTCTGCAGCCCACAGTGACAGGAAACACCAGGACTCTGTACAAAAACCTCTGGAACAAACAATACAATGCTCCACATCGTCCACTAGAGGGAGTCACACACTGAACTTTAGGTGAATCACATAACAAATGCTCCAGCAACTAAGAATCAGACACCAACAACGTCATCTCTCTTCACTGCAGCTTGTTCTTGAAAGCTGAAACTGGTTCACAGAATCTGACTATTTGTCCCAAAAACACATAAAAAGACATAATTATCTCACTTTTCTCTCAGTGCGTTTACTATCAGTG